GCTCCTGACTGTGCCCCTGCACTCTGATGCCAGTCACAGGTGCTGGCGAAACGTTAGGAAACAAAACTTCAAGAACACGGCCACACAGCCCGGAAGACCTACACCAGCCATTGTATGCCGGCCGTGAAAGCCTTTGACAATACATTATTCAAGCAACATTATAAAACGCAACAGATGCCAAGCAAAGTGGTTTTTCTGCAAACCTGCAGTTGGTATAGCCAGAATATTTAGTTTTTGCAAAAATGTGTTCAATCCGTTTGTTATTCGGCTTAATGCAGCAATTAGCATCAAGATGACTTTGCAAAACCTTTTCCATAATCTCCCGATTTCGACTGCCAGATCTCTATATTTTATTATTTTTTCCCTAATTCTTTTCCTTAGATTCTGCTACGAGTTGCCACAACTACAGAAATGTCTCTCTTCTTTTCAACGGGGTTCTAGATAATAAGGATAATGATTGTTCTTACAGATCTCTTCCAGGAAAGCCTCCCTAAGCCCCAGTGAAGAGGACGGGTACCTTCGCCGCGTAATGCAGGGCAGTCAGCTGGAGCGCCGTGGCCCTCGCGTTGACGTCCACCCGGAGATCAGACACAAGGAACCGAAGGGCATCGTCCTGTGCTGTAATGGCAGCTCGGTGCAACGGCTGATCCCCGAGGGCATCCCTGGCGTTGTAATGAACCTGCGGGATGGGGAACAGGAAGCAGGATGCTGATATCTTGGGTTCTAATCCAGAACAAGTGCTGGGGAGGTGAGAAAGGATGTCTCAGGAAATCTTGGAACCAAATAGGCTTCCATTTAAGCCAGTGTTTTTCAAACTCGGTCACTTTAAGCTGGGTGGACTTCAACTCCCAGAATTCCCCAGCCAGTAGGGCTGGCTGGGGAATTCTGGGAGTTGAAGTCCACCCAGCTTAAAGTGGCCGAGTTTGAAAAACACGAATTTAAGCCATCTAAATTACCCCCAAAATGCAGAGATGGAAAGGAAAGAAAAAACATCAAGGGAAGGCAGCCAAAACTTTGTCCCACTGAACTGAAAACTTAACGTCTCACCACATTGTTTATATTTTGGGTTCCATTTTTGGTGGGCAGGAAATTTTTTGCTGACCATAAGGAGCAAAAACAAGGAGTAATTTTTGCTCCTTATAGTCAGACAGACAGAAAGATCTCAGTCTGGTTCAGTTTCTGAGGATCTGATGGACCCATGCAAGACTTTCCAGTTCCCAGTCTAGCCTCCAGCCCTGGGTGCACCGGTGGTCTCCCATTCAAGTCCTAACCAGGCACACCCTGCTTAGCTTCCCAGGCCAGATAAAGATGGCCATCCGCTGCCATCCGCTGAGATAAATCAATAAAGGGCTGCTACAAAATGTTGCAGCATGGAGGGTTCCAGCCAGGTGTTCTCTCTTCTAAGTTGCTGCTACGTCACCCTTGCACGTGAAAGCCCTTTTTGCTAAATCAAGAACCAGATCTTGCAATCTAAATCTTTTACGCATATCTAAGAAACCCACTTCTAACTTTTTAATTATTTATATTCCATATATATATTCCATATATATATATATGGCATGGCAAAGTCAGGCCCACTGGGAACTTGTTCACCCAGGGGTCGTGGCAACCGTACAGAAGCGGTTTGCCGCTGCCTTCATCCTCGATGGTTTTGATTTCCCAGTTGAGCTTACAGCTGTGTGATTTCCTTGTGGTCTCCCATCCAAATATTAATCAAGCTTGATCCTGCTTAGCTTCCAAGCTCAGGTGAGGTCCGCCAGGTGTCGCCCTCTCCTTGAACAAGGGACGCTTTCTCAAAAAAAAGGTTAAAGCAATTTTAAAAATACTCCTAAGTTACCAGCTTCCTTTTGAAAGATGCACCTGTCGGGCCAGGTGGATGACAAACGCACCTGATGTTTCTCTAGAAGCAGCCTGGCAACATCCAGGTGGCCGTTTTGTACAGCATCCATAAAAGGAGTGACCCCACAGTTGTCCCGAGCGTCTGGCTGATAGTTGCACCTTGGAATAAGTACGGAAAAGACGATGAAAACCGAAGTTGAGCCCAGAGCACAGTCGGGGGCCAGTTGGGGGGAGCAGTGGAGGTGAGGGACTAGAAACCAGGAGGCAGCGAGTTCTAGTCCTCCGTAGTCACAGAAGCCGGCTGGGGGACTTTGGGCCAGTCCTCTCTCTCAGCCAGTCCCACCTTGCAGGCTCATTGTGGTGGGGAAAACAGGAGGCGGGAGGATTATAAATCTAATAAGAAATAAACAGTTTGTTACTTTGCACTGTGGTGACAGTGTCGACTAGATGCTGCCCCCCAAAAAGCACTGGACATTCACACCATTTCTAGGAAGACCATCAAACAGCCGCATAGCAGAAATGCAACGGGGTAATTTTTTTTTCTCTAGGCAGAGTTCACTGGCAGGAACAAGAAGTCGCTGTTTTATTTTGTCACCTGCTGAACAGCTGTTGAAACCAGAGGCGCCTTTCTATACGACTAAAAAAAACATCAGCTGTTAACCGCTGATCCAGTACACACATCATGCTAAACCATGGTTCACTGACAAACCACCATAAGCTGGTGTGCACAACATCCTTGGCTGTTAACTAGGGTGGGCAAACCATGGCGAAGGCTGCATATGGGCCCAGGCTGCCTCCAGAGTGGTGGAGGGGTGGGGGCAAAATTTTTAGACTGTTTTGGTGTTGGAGAAGGCTCCTGAGAAGACCATGGACAGCCAAGAAGACATACAAATTGGGAACACATCAACCCAGAGTTCTTACTCGAGGCACAAATGACTGGGTTCAAATTATCCTACTTCGGACACTTTATGCAAAGACCCAGCTCTCTGGAGAAGGCTCTGATGCTGAGAAAGGTGGAAGGAAGGAGAAGAAGAGGACAACCAGCAGCCAGCTGGAGAGGCTCAGTTATAGTAGCGATGGGGGCACATTGGAAGTCCTGAAGGACCAGATTAGGGACAGATTGTCACAGAGAAAATCTATCTATGTGGTTGCTAAGAGTCAACACCAACTTGACAGCACATAATCAATCAATCAGTCAGTCAGTGGGAAGGAAAGAGAAGAAGAGGACGACCAGCAGCAAGGTGGATAGACTCAGTTACAGTGACAACGGAGACATTGTTGGAAGTCCTGAAGGACCAGATTAGGGACAGATTGTCATGCAGAAAGTCTATCTGTGTGGTTGCTAAGAGTCCACACCAACATGATGGCATATAATCAATCAATCAATCAATCAACCAATGGGAAGGAAAGAGAAGAGGACGACCACCAGCAAGGTAGATGGACTCAGTGTGGCAATGGGGACACCAGTGGAAGACCTGAAGGACCAGGTTGGGGTGAGATCCTCCTGGAGAACATCTCTCTACCTGGTCGCTAAGCATCAACACCAACTTGATGGCATGTCATCAACTGATCAACATGAAGTCCTAGCTCTCTTGAAAAGTCTATAACACAGTTCCAGCGGTGATGGTCACCAAGATTCAACAACACCTTGATGGCCCATCATCAATCAATCGATCAAATCTGTTTTACAACCTCTTTTTGGTTGGCGGTGCTGCACGGACCAACCATCTCAGCAATTAGTGGGGAAGGGAGAGAAAGCCCCGTAATAAACCAGGAGGACGGAAATTCAGCTCACCTTTCAAGAAGGATTTTCACAACCTCCAGGCAGCCGTGCATCGCTGCAGACAGAACAGAGAAGACACATGGCTAGTTTCAAAATCTGACAGCAGCTTTCCTCAGGCCGGTGCTTTCCAGATATCCTAGACTGCAATCCCCATCATCCCCAGCCTCCAACTCTCCCAAATCCCAGCGAAGCACTATGTTGCGAAAGAAAAATTTTCTCCTGAGACTGCTGTTCATTGGGCTCAATCCTGAGATATGCTAGGCAGGCTTAAGCAAGCATATATGGAGCCACAACTGGGTTAACCCACAACACGCCCTGCGAGGGAGGTTGAGCTAGAAAGAATGACTGGCCCAAATCACTCAGTAGGTTCTAGACTTAGCCTTCCCCCCATGGTCAAAAAAGTCAAGATGGCAGCCACAGCAATGCAACTGGAGCTGTAGCCACCATCTTGACTTTTTTGTCCATACCCTGCCGCATCCCTGCTAGCTAGATCAAGAATACCTTTGTTAAGATTTATTTACTTCTCTACTCAATTTATCTCATTTTTACATGACTCTAGGCAGCTTACAATAAAACAAATGAAAATACAAAATACATAATATAAAACAAAATAAAAACACAGAGCAAGATCCTCTGTGCACGGTGGCTGTATTCACACAACACACTTCAGATTCTTGCAGCTATGCTGACATACCCAATTTAGTTTTAATTCATGTTGAACTCCTGGCACAAGTGACCCCAGACCATTGGCTCATATAAGGCAGAAACCAGGTTAAATGTATTGTGTGAACCCAGTTAATGGAACTAATTGCTGTGTTCACAAAACATGTTTGGCCAAAACAAATAAATACCCCTATGATGGCTTAACTGGCTGGGGAGTTCTGGCTGGCCGGGGAATTCTGGGAGTTGAAGTCCAGACATCTTAACGTCACCAAGGTTGAGAAACACTGCCCTGGAGAATTACTATATTCAGAGAATTAATGCCTCTGGACCTGGTTTACTTGGCTGCTTGGCATTTCTCCAAATTTCTGGATCGGGATCACACTAGGGAAAAAGTGGGGAAGCCTCATCTTCTCCCCAGTGATCACGCAATATTCCAAGAATATTGAAATTCACAAGAAAGCATTTGCAGAATTAACTTACCTTCACAACTAATCCAGTAATGCAGTTTAGGCTAGGAACCGGATTATGCTTCCCCAAGACGTTCCCTCAGGGTTTACTCAAGCCAACATGCTTATTCCAGATTTTCTCAGTCCAGTTTCCTGGATCCACATTGGGTTGCTGCGCACACCCAGGGTTTGGCTGGCTCAACGCACTGAATCAAAACGGGGTCAACGACGTTGCCGCTCAGCCTTGTTTTCAAACACTGTCTCTGTGACTTACCCAAGACTACAACTGAGTAAAGTACCTAACTTTTATTTCTGGATCCAAACCCCCCCAAATGCCTAAAGTCATCCAACATGCTAGATGAGGCCGAAACAGGTCAGGTAGTTTGCGATTCAGGGTGTTGTGGGAACACGGCGTGAACAAAGTATTATCTTAAACCAGCGTTTCTCAACCTTGGCAACTTTAAGATAGGTGGACTTCAACTCCCAGAATTCCCCAGCCAG